ACTGTGTTAATTCGGCATCAAGAGGCAAATGAAATTGGAAAAATAAGGCAAAGATAGAAAAACTAAATTAAACTATAACTAAATCTTTTACCACTGTGTTAATTCGGCATCAAGAGGCAAATTGGAAAAATAAGGCAAAGTTAGAAAGGAATATAAAACGCAGCGAGATGAAAAAACAGAAAGTCACGCGCGAAATTCGCAATCAATGCATCGGACGTCAAGGAAAACGTTTCAAAAGAGCGGACAAAGGAACCGCTGAACGTTTGTCCGTGAGAATCGGTCCTAATGTCTACGCGACGATCGCGTTTCGACGGTGGAAAAGCTCGAAAAAATATTTTCTGTGACAACGCGCCTCGCAGAGAAACGATCCGGCTGCTATCCCGCTGTGTTTCGAACAGTTAATGGGTTTTTGAAGTTGGTCGGACAACGGCGACGGTAGGGATCGGCTGAAGACACGACGGGGGCTAACGATATTTCTCGGTTACTTCGCCTATATTTTTACAAAAAATATCTCGCTGGCGAGGATCGCTTAAAGACGCAATTTAATCGGGAACTTTACATTCCATTACGTCGCCGCGCCGCCGGAGAGAAAGTATCGCCCGGAAGTACGTTTCCCACTGGTTCGCGCGCTCTCCCACGACCCTTCCATCCCCCTGGTCTACGTCTCGAATCGCTTTTTAAAAAGCTTCCTGTCCGTCCAGAGAGACTGCTCGAAGGAAAGTTCCCCTTTGAAGCGGATCACCGTCGAACTTTCATCGCGACGGGCCCCTCGACAGTTTCGTCATCGGTAAATATTATCGTCCGACTTGGCACGTTACCGACCGCGAAATATCCACTTCATCCTTTCTTTAAACGCTCTAAACGCTTGAAAAACAACGATCACAATCTGATCCATGTATAGGTAATGCAAAGAACATAACTTCATTATTTTTATATTATATATTATTTATATAATATTATATATTATATATTTATATATTTAATTATAATTAAATATAATGTATTTATATATAATTATATATTTAATATTCATATTTATTATATTTATATAATATTTTATATTATATATTTATATATTTAATTATAATTAAATGTAATATATTTATATATATAATTATAATTAAATATAACATATTTATATATAATTATATATTTAATATTTATATTTTTATATTATTATTATTTTATATTATTTTTTTATTCCTCTTAACCACTGAATATGATAAATATATACAATCAATTTTGATAAGAGTTAATGTTAACGGCAGGAAGAAAAGATTTATACAAAACTCGCAACTACTACAGTTCAGTTATGCTCATCGCACAAAATGAAGTCTCAAAACATCCATCAACCGTCGTTTCGTTCCAGTTTCGAATCGTTATTCGAATATAAAAAAAATTCGCGAAACATTGGATAGCGATGAGAGAACATCGGGGAACAGAGAAACGAAAAAAAAGAAAAGAAAAATGTTACGTGAACACGTTCTTTTTCAAACCGAACACCTCGACGAACTGTTGGCCACTGCGAAGGAATCCCGCAACACGTATAGACTTTCCCGTGGAATAATGTTTCGCGACGCATTTTGTGGCCGTGGCCGCGCAAACTTTGTCAAGCAAATATTTGACGCAATCTGGCGCAAGTACGAAACAATCCCTGCCCCCCCGTCGGCAGTTGAAACGGGGGAATCCGGTTGCGGCTGAAAGGATCGCGGAACTCTGTTCCGATGCATTAGTAGCTCTCAGAGGCGAACGCTTTAATGTTTCACAACGTATCGAATCGAAGGATCACCGAGGGAACTTTCAATAGATTTATCAACGTACAGAGAGAAGGCATTTCAACGGAAATTATAATGGACAATTATTATTTCTTGATAAATTTTATCAATAATTTTTAGATAATTATGAAGTCCCGCGAATTTAGTCTGTGCTCTCTCAAAATTTTTATTAGATAGATATCTTTTGAAACATAATTCGTGGTAAACTCTTCTCGAATGACTCGATAAGACAATCAGTGAATCAGTACGATTATGATATTTATCGACATGAGAAGAGAGAGAGAGAGAACTTCTGTTCACCAATCTGAATAATTATAAAATATCCCACTATCCTGACAATTCCAAAATCCTGATAAGATTCACATATCAATAATCTAATCAACAATTTTATGAAATCCCAGAGATTTGATTAATCAACAACATTTAATAAAAGCGAATAAATGAGAAATTCTTCTAAAAAAAAAAAAAGTGTTCTCATAAAGTATCGCGATAAGATTCACGAACTGGTACGACCACGATATCAATATTCTATCATAGATAGAAAGTACTTAACAACCAATTATTACATTTCGATATAATCAGCTTTCGATTTAAATAATTTACAAAATCCTACCGTTTAATAATTTGCCCAAAATTTGGCCCATCTGACAAAAATTGAACAAAAATTCCGTTAAAACGGCGCTTTATCATCGTGTATCTCGATAAACATCGCGAACCGACACGATCGTAAGACGTCGACTTACCTGCGACGCTTATCTCGTAAAAGATGAGAGAGGACCCCTCTCGGCGTTTATCGTCTCGTTTGTATCTTCATGAGACGAATCCGCGTATCTCATGCTGCACGGGCACTCATGTGAAAATCCGCAACGTTGAGACCGGTGAAGAGAAAACTGTGAGACGCCGGCTGAACAGAAGCGAACATCCAGCCCCATTTAATCCGCCAATGTTAGACGCGATCCATCTTTGTTGCCGTTGTTGGCTCGTCCTTCTTCTTCTTTAAGATCAGCGTCTTTCAACGTCAGGCTTGTATATATATTCCAAGCATAGTCGCAAAGTACATTGTTCGTTCGCCAGTACCATTACTGCCACCTGCGAACGCAGCGACCAGCCACTTCTTCGTCGCAGCAAAGTCTCCTTCCTTCGTCGTTGTTCGCCTCGCGATGTTCCCTTTGCCGTTGTTGCCAGAGCCCGAAGCCAGTTGACGCAGTCGGTGACTTGGCCACCTGGGAAATACCAAGTAATGCCCGCAAAGCTGGTTTCTAGAGATGGGATCGAGTAGCTCACAAGTAGGTTCGAATCTACCGTAATCTTTAGTTAATTGGATTCGAACTCTCCAATGGTACTTCCAAGTGAGAACAATATTTTCTAAGTAGATCCGAGGTGCTCGTAGATGGAGATGGGATCGAGCACCTCGCGAGTAACTTTGAATTTTTTAATAATATTTAATTAGTTTCGAATTTCAATTTTAATTAGCTTCGAATTTTTAGTCATTTTTAATTAGTTTCATTAGTTTTAATTAGCTTCGAATTTTTTTTTAAAATATTCAAATCTAAGAGGGGTAACTTTACTATTTCATACGTAATACAATGAAAACAAATAGATTCGAGTAGTCATAGATACAGATCGAGTACTTCACAAATTCAGATCTTCAGTAATTTTTAATTAATTGGATTTGAACTCGTTACAAGTGCTTCTGATGATACTTTCAAGTATGTTTGGATTTAAGGGAGATGACTTTGTTTTATGAGAACGATACTTCCAAGTAGATTCGAGTATTGGCGGATTATAAATATTTCCTTTGAATGGATATCTGATTAAATGAACTTTTACTAGTTGTACCTGAATTTCTGTTATATAAACAAAAAATAGAAAGAAAAATCAGTGAACTCTAATTGTATAAACTTCATAATAAGTTCGTATAAACGGATCTAAAAGGAATAGGTTAAATGAAATGAGAACGATACTTCCTGTGAGAATGCTGTCAAATGCTAATGAATAGAGATGATATCATGTACTTACAAACAGATTGGAACCTTTTAAGACTAGATTATGTTCCTGCTTTTCTGTAAGCAAATGTTACATTCGCATATGCCTCTTCATTGAATGCATGAAGAAGCAGAAATACTATTTATTCGTACAATGAAGTATGAATAAATAGAACTACAGAATTAATTAATAACGTTCTCCTTCTATAAATGAACGAAATTCAAATTACAGAGGATTAACTGCAATTATTTATCTCAATTGAATATCTGACAATTAATAATCACTCATTTGGTGTATTTATAATGATGTATTGATGAAGTATATGTAATTTTCTAGAGTTAGCAAAGTGTGCAACGTAGAAAAACGGGAACATACTTTTCTGTCGTATGAGTGAAATAATACAATTAATGTACAGTAATAATACAATTAATTACTATTCTCCTCCTATAAATAAACAAAATTCTGGTTAAAAAAAGGTTAATTGTAGCCATTTACTCCAATTGAAAATCGGACGATCAATCATAGTTGTACGATGTTGCACGATGTTACAGATTATAGAGGAAACATACGTTTATCACTTATGCAAATAATCCTCGAATATCTGGACGATTTTCAGTGAGACAGAAATTTTATTGACTTGACGAAACATAGTCTTGTTTTTCTATACAGGATCACAAGTTAAACCATCGATCACTATATGTTTACAAATGTGAGAACTGGAAAGAAACAAATATCGTTTCAAACGAATGAAATATATACATATATATATACAACAATAGTACAAACAATATCTCTTTCACATTTGATTTTTAGACTTCTCCTTTGGACTCGAACATCACTCTGTGATTTTGAAAATTCAACTACTGCTTGTAAAACTTTCGAATCCTGCAAACATCAAACTACTTAGTTCGCTTTTTTAAATCTGCAACAAGATTCTTTTCATTCTCATTCTAAGGCTACACCGGCCCTGTATAAAATGAACACACTGCAAGTATGCCCATTGAAACATTCTCACTTTAGAGCGTGATATTCGAAATCCATGAAACGAAAGTTAGATATCAGACTTGACTTGGACTCGAAGGTACATATTGGACTTGATCCCATTCCTATTGATTTCCTCTCTCTCTCTCTCTCTCTCTCTCTCTCTCTCTCTCTCTCTCTCTCTCTCTCTCTCTTCCGCTTTCTTCGTCCCTCTTGCTTCTTCCAAGTTTCTTCTCAAGGTTGAGACGACCCTTTTCCCCCAACACTGTCTGTCTTTAGTCACAGCCTTCTATTTCCACTAAGCTCAGTCCTTATTTCCACGGCTAGCGTTCCTCCGGAGTAAAAAGAAACGCGCAAACAGGAAGAGAGAGGAACGAGCATTCGCGAAAATTGCCACGGACTTCCGCCTCTGAAGCGCGGTGTAATCAGAATTAGGAACACGCTCCACCCACGGACGGCTGATGATTTAATTTATCGAACGGCAGCTCCAGATAAAAAGGCTCCGTGATTGGCTATTGTCGAGGCATCACGTCGAAATTCGCCTCAAGCAGGATCGACCCTTTTGTTTCTCGGCGAAAGGAGGAAATCTCGCGATAGAGCGTTTCGAAGCTAAATTAAACGAAAAGTGCACTAATGGCATGGTGTAGTTGTCTACGTGTCGTCAGTTCTTATCCCTTCTTTTTTTTCTTTCTTTCTTTTTTCATCGCATCACTCGTATATACATAATCGTCTTCTTTTGTCTTTTACGTTATTTGTCATCATGAAGTCTCTCAACGGCATCGTCGTCAATCCCTCTTCTTCGACGACATTCCATCATTTCTCTCTTCTTGTTTCTTTTTGAGTCTAGTCAGAATGTATTTCAATGCTCTGAACGAAACGTAGACGGAGAGCAACGCAAGGAGCGCTAATACAAGCATGACATCGATGAGATTGCGTTGACACCAGGACATGTTCGCCGCCTCGCTTCTCACGTATGGTAGAGCATTCCCCCGACCCAAGTATTCTGTCCACCACACTGCTGTCTCCAACGGAGTACTCGGTCGGTCTCTGTAAGCTTTCGATAGCTTCTTGGCGTTTTCGCTGTACCTGTAACAGAAAAATTTGTTAGCAATGAAATATAGTCGTGATAAAATTATATCTAAAACTATACATCTTTGTGAAGTGCAGGCAAAAGAATATTAATTCAAATACGAATCAAATAATAGAAATTTTCAAAAACGGTATACATGTGATGTGTATTTAAAGTACAATCCGAATCAAACATCAACACCGGCGATTCTACATTGCACTTTAGATTTAAATATTACAAATGCTTTTCTGCGTAATTTAACAATCATCCATCAACGATATATTTATTGCAATTCTATCTTTTCTTAGTGTGTAATGTATAACATATGTGCAATTAATAAAATCATAATATAAAATATAATTAGTAAAATTGGCACTTTTGTTGCTATCAATGCGTGGCATATAACGCGTTCTATTTTAATATCAGTATTGCGCCAACGGCTATACCAAAAGTTATACCAAATGGAAATAAATATTTTTTTTTTTCAGTTTTTCTATCGTAGACATGGACACATTCATTAATTAAACATACCGATTTGCATATAATTAAATGTATGTGTGCCAATTATATTGTTAAATATATTGACGTTGATATACTGAAAATACTCGTGGATAACGTTTTTTTTTTTTTGTATATTAACTAATCAACTAATAATGTTGCAATAATTCAATAATGAACAAATAATACCATTTAATGGAAACAATTTTTCATTTATTTGTATTTTGTTAATTCATATTCCAACATATATTGGAACATTTCGACTGTTAAAATTGAAGCAATATCAATTGATGTCACGACGCTTGACAGTTGATGTTCCAACCATCGTAACATATTATTCTTTCTCACTCGTGAACGTATTATATATATACGTATGTACACACATACAATATGTAAAATACTGAGGATTTCTCTAATTTCAGTAGTACAGCGATTTCGATATTACGTATATCGATTTTGGTATAACTTTGCTAATATTACACGGACAAAATACTATCGATTTCATTTTAAATCGCTGCTTAAAAATATTTTTAAAAATTCTGATAAAGAAGGAAATTGAAAAAGTTACGAATAATAGGAGGCAAAATAATACCGGTTTCACTTTAAATCCTGCTTAAAAATTCATTCCTAAAAAATAAATATTATATAAAATATTATATAAAAATGTTAATAAAATATTATATAAAAATGTTATTTTAGATCTCTACTTAGATTTCTAAAAAAAATTGTAATAAAATAGAAAGTGGAAAAATAGAAAGATTTTTGAAAAAGAATGACGATAAAATAGAAAAATCAAATAGGAAAGTCGAAGTAGAAAAGTAGAAAAAAATACGTGAATCGATACAATTTTCATACAAAGATATAATATCATACTAGTGTTTCCGTACTTCGATTTCGATTGCAAAACTACAATCGAAAAATATTGACGTACATAATACCGACTCTTTATATTTCGCTAAAACTCCCTAATTTCGATCGATGTTTACGCAACTATTGCGTTTTCGTTCTCGTGGAATATTCGATGTTCATTTCTGCCCCGATTATTATTTTCTTAAATAATGGAGTAAAAATTGGAAGAAAAAAGAAAATTGGAAAACAGTTTATATCACCTTTGACTGATATGAATATCAACGAGCGCATCGATTGACAGACGCAATAAACGTGTAACACTAACGAAACCGAACGATCTAACATGAATCTCGCAAGCGAAATAAACAAAATCGGTCGCATCAGATTATACACACACAAGCGAAACGATTTTCCACTCCCTGCACGTAGCATTTGCTCGCGTTTCCATTTACCACGACGCGGCGAGTCACTAATGTCGCCGGAACGTTCGTTGTTCCTTTTTTCATTTTTTTCTTCCTTCTATCCTCAACTTTAACAACCGTAGCCCGATACAATAGCCGAGGACTCGATAAATAATTCATGCAATATACCGATCGATCCACTACTCGATATCGCCGGCGAGCGGAAAAAGATGCCGCAGGATACTTTATAAATATCTCCGGGAGCTTTTAACGGTACGCTTATCGTTCACCCGGAAACAGGCACGGGGCACTCGCGTATCGATGACAGGCCCCGGTGTGGAACGACGAGAAACATCGTGGTCGTCCGCTGGTTCGACGTCGAAACGCGTGTTCTGTCCGCTACCTTCCGGAGAGATACCACGTGGACTCGCGTCGAGTTTAGATCAATCGAGAAACAGAGAGACAGAGAGAAAGAAAAAGAGGGGGGGGGGGAGAACGAGACTGGGCAGAGAACAGTAACAACAACAACAAAAAGAAAAAAAAGAAACAAAAAAACAGAGGAAAAAAAGATACAGCGATGGGGTAAACGAGAGACGAAGAGGAATAACAGAGGGCAGAGGAACGGGTTGGTGGACAGACGAAAGGGTTGAAGAGGGAAGAGACACAGAGAGAAAGAGAGAGAGAGAGAGAGAGAGAGAGAGAGGGAGAGGGAGGGAGAGAGAGTTGCGCGTTCGCAACCAGCCTCGACGACCCGGAGCACACAATTTACCAATCGGTACTCTCCATTATTCGTGTTTACAGCTGCAGGCCGCGAATCAACCTGGTCCCCCTGTTATTTGCCTCGGTCAAATTCAGTCGCAGCCCTGCGGTGGTTTTGAATTAACCATCAATTTTAAGCGCGTTCGACGTCCCTTCCGTCAACGCTGCACCCAGGGTCCATCCACCAGCCGGGGACAGGCCACGATGTTTCAGAGGGTGTCGGACAGACATAGCGCCAAGGGAATTAATTTATTGCTAATAGAAACAGAGAGATATTCGGGGAGGAGGAGAATTGGCGTTAAGTCGGAAAAAGAAGCACTCACGCGCCGTTTAATTCGAGATAATCGAAGATCGATGATTTCGCTGTCGCCTCGGTGACAGTGCCTTCCCAGCCGAATATAATACTACGTAATTCTATTGGGTGCCGTTACAGATGCATATGAAGTGCAATATCTGGAGAAATCGAATCTGATTACAATCCTCGTTTGGGATTCGTTTGGTATTATTGACGCGCGATATCGTACGACAGATAGTTTTATTAAAAGAACTTGCTAAAATATAAAATGCAAGATTTTAGTAAAAGATGAATTGAAATAGAGATAGGTTGTTTTATTATTTATAGCACGGAGATTAACTAATTCGGGAAAATAACTTAAATATCAAAATTGATACTTGCTTTAATCTTTATCCGAGTATCAGAGAACTTGATTATCCGAAACTTATCCGAAAATTCCGTTAATTTTCATCTGGGTGATATCAGGTTCGTCCTTATTAATCTTGATGATCTTCCGATAATGGCAATTATTATTATATAATTATTATCCTCAGGAATAAAGACATGCAGCGGCGCGCGGAAGAAAGTTTAAAATTGATATTGACACACATATGTATGAATAAAATTTGCATCGAATAATATCTTCTCTACAATGATATTATACACTCATCTGTTTCGTCAATTTTGTAAAATTACAACGTTATTCCCCGTTTTACACTTTCAAGAATAAAACTTTAATCGTCATTTATAAATATAATAAGATTCTAACATAAATTCTCAAAATATTTCGCTGTGGGTCCATTTAAACTCAACATATGCTTTATACGTCGCTAAAATTATCCACTGTTCGATAATTAACTGAATTTATCTTCCTATTATTGCTAATGTATTATAATATCCTACAATGTCCTATAATACCATACCAGAATAAAATGAACATATGTTGAAATGAACTGATTTACTACCCTAAATAATTCAATATAAAAAAAATATATATAAAATACAGATTATTAGTATTGCTTGACTTCAAAAAACTATTGATCACAAGGAGATAAAACTTGTTGTTTGCCAGATTGTGATCAATTAGTCAGAAAAGTTTGAAGGCTATTACTTGAAATTTAATATTTTATTAAAAATTTTAGTTCCTGTGTCTAATAGAATTTAGGAATACGTAAAGTAAAATATTTAAACACTAGGAATATTAAATATATGAAAAATACTTCTTAACCTTTTTTACAATAAATGATAGTTTGATAAAATGTTCATGACGTGGCACTAAATATTACCTGCATGTTCTAAGACTTTCCAAATCAAATCAAATTCTCATCTTGACAATAGAGAGCTATAAATCGAACAAACAAACTCTCTCCTCTATTAACCTACATTATATTATTAAACACTTAATGCGATTCCATTAGAAACTTGATACTCTTGCTACTTGTTCCGACGCCAAACTCTGTCAATTTTCTGCATTTTCAAGTTTCATATTCATCAGCAACAAACGCTGATATTTCATATAAAATCTGTATAAATCTCATATGATCAGAAATACAAATTTCAACGACGAACAGACATCTTCAACCATCTCTATTTACTCTTCTTATCAGTATCTATTAACTACTCACGTGTTGAGATTAAATCGTATTTTATAACAATCTAGAAGCGTCCGAACACTTGTGCATAAGATAGTGAGCACGTAATTGATCGCAGGACTACCTTGATTCAAAGATCGGAGGATAGTTCGAAGGATAGGGACCGAGCTCGGCGTTATCGAGAAACGAAATTATTTAGCCAGGAAAGTCCGAAGGCAGATGTCGCGAAAGTTACGCGAGGAACCGTCTCTATCCCTCCCCCATTTCTGAGGCCGACTCCGTATCTCCGGGGGATCATAATTCCCGCGATATCTCGGGGATCGTTGTCGCTCGGGCCTCCCCCGACACGTTACGAACTTACTTTCCGACTTGCAACGTTATCGCAAGGACTCGGGGAGGCCTGGTGCTCCACGCTCCCTCGTGATGCGACTTTCCCCAGCGTCTAGGAACGGGGGGAAACTCGTGCACCCGCAACTCATCCGCCACGGACCACCCAGCGCGAGCCAGAATTACTCGGTTTGGAGATTCTAATTGCAAACGGAGAAAGAAAGATGTTCCTCCGTGTTCCGCCGCTGTGTAGAAACGGCTGCTGGTACTAGCTGTCCTACCAACCGGCTCTGAATTACTTTGTTCCATCCCTATTC